ATGATCAGTCTGTCATAGTCTGGGATAAGCAGACTTTTAAGCTTTTGGAAGAACTGAAGGGCCACGAGGCACCGGTGAGGTTCTTACATTTAGCTGTAGATTTGATTTAATGTCTCCATTGCCTCTCCTTAGTAACTCTGAAGCATGCTCTGTTTAATATCGGTATAGGTTAGTTCTGTCCGGATGCTCTCAGGAGAACGTGTCCTTACTGCATCCCATGATGGTACTGTGAAGATGTGGGATGTCCGGACTGATACTTGTGTTGCTACCGTGGGTCGTTGCCAAAGTGCTGTTCTCTGTATGGAATATGATGATTCCACTGGAATCTTGGCGGCTGCTGGAAGAGATGTGTATGTACCCTTTTAACCTCAGGGTTTTGGATACTTCAATCTTTTAAATTTATGTGAGTTTGGTTGGAATTTGTTCTGAGAAGTTTATGCTCACCAGAACGGCGCATGTCTGGGATATTCGTTCCAGCAAGCAGATGTTCAAGCTTCAAGGGCATACAAAATGGATTAGGTAATTTCTACATTGCATTTTCAACTCTCTCTGTGTACAGTCATGTGTGACTCTTACAAATCATTTATCGACTAAAAGATCAATGAGGATGACTGGAGAGACCATAATAACGGGTAGTGACGATTGGACCGCTAGAGTGTGGTCCCTTAACCGGGGAACATGTGATGCAGTGTTAGCATGCCATGCTGGTCCCATACTATGTGTGGAACACTCACCTTCAGATAAAGGAATTATCACTGGTATGTGACTATATCTCATTTTAAGAACAGGGTGGCCTGAAATGTGGCTCTATATTTGAGAACTCTGCATGTCATATGCTTCTGACTCTTAATTTATTCCAGGTTCAGCTGATGGGCTCATAAGATTTTGGGAAAATGAAGGCGAGTTCTTAGTGATTGTAAAACTAATTTCAGTTACTTTTTATGTTTTTGTTCCTTGTTTTTTTGGGGAAACTAGAGTGTGTTTTTTTGCATGCTCTACGGTGGGTTGTTTGTGTGATGTTTATTGCCTATCAACACCTGTACACGGGTGTAATCTAAATGTGTCTTTCGGTGAAATGTGTTTATAAAAACATGAATACAATTTGCAATAGGGTGCTGTAGTAAATGATGTCCCTTCGGGATGCATACACATATTTCACAAACACTACCATTTCATTAAAAAGCGTCTAATTAAAGTTCTCAGTTATTTAAGATAGAAATGTTAATGCTCCAATGTAGTTGATCCAATGGTTGTAGTTTAGAGATGACATGGCATAACATGGATTTGGCTTAGAAGTCAATTTTAGAGTAAAGTAGGATTTGTGGTTTTGTACCATATATCCAGACATGATAAACATGCTGCCTTTTTTAACACGCAGGAGAGCTGCGTATCATTTCATTAGGAAGAAAGGTCTGAAACACAGGGAAGAAATCCCCAACAACACTCGCACACTCAAACACCCTCAACACTCTAGAAGACTAGAACATAAACTGAAAATAAAGACTGAAAGCAACACAATCAGAACTGTGTTGTAGGCTTGCAGCACTAGTTTTCAGTCCCTGAGGCCCAAATCTTACCAATAATCACCTATTAGATAATGGATACAAGGTTATCTGGATTTACCATTAACTAAATACTCAATATCATATTATTAGTACTACCTCCGTTCCATTTTATCTGGCGCACACGCATATCAAGATTCAAAGGCTAATAATTTTTAACTATTATAATACAAACTTTATATGATTAGATCCGTAAGGAGTTATACTATCCAATGATTATAAGATTATAAGCATAAATAATACAACATAAAGCAAATGAATGGTCAAAGTGTAATCTTGGAGACCGTGTCATTTTAACTTGCGCCAGATAAAATGGAACGGAGGGACTATTTAGTAGGTTTCAGTTTAGCAACAATACATCATGCCAATGATTTCAAGACATATTAATAGTATTTGCTGTTAGCACCAATTCATTGCGTTATATATTTATGTCTATCTATTAGCCCTGCCAAGGTTAGGAAAAAAAAGTGTAAGCAAGCCAGTTTGCACCAGGTGAAAGTCTCTCTCTCTCTCTCTCTCTCTCTCTCTCTCTCTCTCTTGTCTTCCTTGACTTTGGAAGTACTCAGCGAGATATGTTGTTTGGGGTAGAATTTGTAGAAACTTATAGAAAAGTTTGGAGAACTATTTGATTTAACAGATAATGAAAAGTGATGGGTGTTGGGAAATTTCTGAAGCTCAAAATGTTTTGTGAGGGTTGCTGTTTTTACAACTAACATACATTTGTTGAATGGACATCTTTTTTTCCTGTTTTTTTGGAAGTTTATAAAGTCTATCATTTAGCTACTGCACATGGCTGAAAAACTAAAGCATTTCGTTCTCTTTTATAGGAGGAATAAAGTGTGTCAAGAATCTTACACTCCATACAGCATCCGTTCTGTCCATTAGTGCTGGTGATCACTGGCTAGGGATTGGTGCTGCTGATAATTCTATGTCTCTTTTCCATCGGCCACAAGAAAGATTCGGTGGCTTCTCAAATGCAGGATCAAAAGTTGCAGGATGGCAGCTTTACAGAACTCCCCAGAAAACTGCTGCAGTGGTATACTATCATCTTAATCTGCACACAATGCTTTCTTTTTAGCTCAATCGTAGCAAATTATTTTTCCAGTAGCAGTGCTGCAGGGCCACACATATTGATGACCGCTAGAAGATCTAACACAATAATGATATATACCAAAACCACCTCTTTTAGAAAGAATGCCGTATACCTGAGATCGAAGGGCGAGCCTGGTGCAAGCGGTAGAGTCTTACCGCCTGTGACCGGAAGGTCCCGGGTTCGAGTCGTGGTCTCCTCGCATTGCACAGGCGAGGGTAAGGCTTGCAACTAACATCCTTCCCCAGACCTCTCACAGAGCGGGAGCTCTCTGCACTGGGTACGCGCCGTATACCTGAGATCGCCACCAACAATGCTCCTGGGATTGTTTTCTACTCACTACTATTGTACTGAATCAATTGTTAAGGGCATGATGCATACCTACTAATGCAATGTTTATGTTTGCTTAATTAATCTAACTTCTCTAAGCATGATTGTAGGTCTGTAGTAATGATTAAGCTGTGAGGTGCTTGATATACTTGTACATAAACGTTTGTAGCAGATATCATAAGGCTCATACCAACTCAATCTTGGGGCAACTGCTCTTATGTTCTGAGCAATTGTATGTTTTGTTCTTTTCGTGATATTCTGAATTACCCATGCTCAAAATATTCTGAATTACCTGTTGCAGGTGAGATGTATAGCATCTGACCTGGATAGGAAAAGAATATGTAGTGGTGGTCGCAACGGACTCCTACGGCTTTGGGATGCAACTACAAGCATCTAGAACTGATAGATGCTCATGTAAAAAGGCAATTGACCATGATGTTGCATTCCATTTTCCTTCTTGCTCCTTTTCCTTTTAGCTAGGAATTTCTATGCTATTTAGACTTTAGAGGATAAGAAAGGAGCCGGACTTTGTTCACTCTATTTCCTTCTCATATATATATATAAAAACTGTCCACTTGAGTTTATGCTTGATGTAATGATGTCTCGTGTAAAATTTTGTTTATAAATTCGGGTTCAGATAGCCTGACATGGCTATGATTTTGTAAGAACTATGAGAAACATGGGAATTTTTGTGCTACTGCTAATGCAAATGTTTGGTGTAATATAACATTCTTTTCATGTGCATATTCTTTGTATGGACCTACCCAAGTGCGAACATGGCATGCATCACACAACATATGCTAGCCTCGTTTGGTATGGCTCCACTTCAGTAGTGAAGCCGTATTGAACAGCTCTTTCGGTGGAGTTGGAGCCGTTTTGGTAAATCGTTTGGCACAACAGCTCCATATATAGAGTTCCTTAAAACATGCTCTCATAGAACGCCATGTAGTATGAGGTAAAGTCTGGTGAAGCCATTATATTTTGCTTCATCGCACCTCAAACTTCTATGAGAGCACGATTTAAGGGGCTTTCTAGATAAAGCCGTTTTGTTTTACCTTAGTTTGGTACAAAACTGGCTCCAAAAACCGGTGGAGAAGCTCTATCAAACGAGGTCTTAGGACGTGTTTGGCAGGGCTCTTTCGGGCTCTGGCTCCTCGCTACAGTACCGGAGGAGCCGGAGCTAGATGAGCTACGAATCGTAGCTTCTTCTAGCTCCTATTTCATTTTGATCGGAGAGATAAAAAATGGCTCCTATAAATAGTGCTACTACAGTGGCTATGTTCGGCTTATCTATATATTGTTTCGGCTTTTTTTTTTCGGTAGGAGTGTTGTTTTTTCTCTCACAACAATTCAGTAGGAATAGTGTTTTTCGATCGATTTCAAATCAAGTTTGATGTAATGAGCAGGGGCTAGTATAAGATGTAGAGGAGCCGGAGCTACGAGAAGACCTACCAAACACGCCCATAGTCTCTAAGTACCATCTTTTGCAACCTCTCGGGTCACATCAGGGCAATACAGGGTTGCTTATTTGGTAGCCAAAGACTAAACTATGAATTTTATGGCACGGCACTAGCAAAATCAGGATTTCAGGAAGCTCGCAGCGTAGCTGAACACATAGAACGCGGAAGGTTACCAACTACCAAGCGCAAGATATCAATGCTACATTAAATAAGAAGCAGGAATAAACCATCACTGTTCTGTGGTTTCAGACGTTGAATCAGCGAGGACGCTCAGGCACTCGTAACGTACAAATCATCAATAGTTTCTGATTAGGATAGTGTGTCGAGAAACTACTTTACAATGCAGTTTTTTCTATATAGAGTTGAGAGATAATCCAACCAATCATCTTCTCTTCTGTATTTGGATCCTCTGCGCTATGAACCGGTGCGCAGGGTGGCGACGTGAGAACATGTTCGATGAACGATAACGCATGGCTGAAAGTATTTTGATTGATTCGTTGCGAAAAAAATACTATTAAAAAGTATGGATTATAAGTCCAGCCAACAGCACCGAGAGGCATGGCGTCCGAGATCCTCCGGCTCCTCGCGATTCTCTGGCGGCTTGCTCTGGTTCAGCACGGAAGTCCTCCGGCTCCCTGCGACTTGCTCCCGTTCGGCACGGTCGGAGCTCCGTCGGCGTGGCAGGTTCTGGATGAGGGTGACGAAGATGCGCGAGCTCGGCAGGGTGGGTGGACGCGGCGCGAGCTCCCCGGCAGCCGCGCACGAGCAGACGACCTCATCTTCGCGCTGCGCTGCAGGCCCGGGTCCCCGCCGCCGACGACGTCGAGGAAGGCGCGATCCACACCGAGCAGCACGAGGTGCGACGCCGCGCCCGGGATCTCCGTCGTCGCTCTCTGCCATCTCGGTTGGGGATCTCCGTCGTCGCTAGGACCTCCCTGCGTGCGGCCGGCCATCTGCTCCGTGGCGACGGCGAGGCTCCAGGCACACCGGATCTAGAGGGAGGGGATAGAAACGAAGGTCCTGTCCCCAACGCAGTTGCCGCAGTTTCTTCCGATCTCGGTTATCGCGTAGACGTCGTTTCTTGTTTAGACCCCGTTTCTACAAATTTTCTTCTCTTTGCTCGTTAAATCGATTGCCACATCAAACTTTTGCTTACGTGGCATGTTCATTTAATTCCTATAGAAACTACCCTTATACTGCGTTTGGAGTGCCCTAATAATGCTGGTATATCTGCAGCAAAACCTGTACCGATATACCAGCTCGTGTCAGTTAAAGTGCTTCGTGTTTGACTAAATTTTTAATAAATAGTATTCATATTTATGGCTCTAAATTAATTTATTATAAAAACACATTTCATAAATAATCTAATAGTATTTATATAATATTATAAATATTTATATTTTTTTATCTATAATTGATCAAACTTGGTATACTAAAACATGACAATATATTAGAATTGCATTCTTTGGGGAGGGAGGGAGTACATGGAGTGAAGACCAGCTAGTATTGATACTATTTCAACATTTGTAATAGAGTAAAATACACGTAGGGTCTTCAAACTTTTTTTTGACATTCCTATCTAGAAACTTGAACTACAAAAACGACTATATAGGTTCCTAATCTATTGCCGTTGCACACCAACGGTCCAAAAATTGCCAATAGGTTATAAAATTAAATGTTGAATTACTTCATGGAATTTGTTTGACTTAGGTTTACAAGCTTTTTAGTTAAGTTTTCAAAATTGTTGACTGAATCTAAAAGATGCTTTAACCAATTTTGTATAAAATGTTAATATATCATGCAAAATTGTTGAATAAGATTAGAAAGCTATTAAATAGATCGTAGTTTTTGTGTGCGTTTAAAATTCAAAAAATAATAAATATAGTAGGCTTTAGTTCATCACTGAGAATGATTATCACATACTTTATATAAGGAAAAAAAAGAAGGAAAGTTTTTTTTGTTGAAAAGGAGGGAGAAAAATTCCTACAACGTGGCCGTTGGGGTGCATGGACGAAGGAGTCATCCGTTCGGACGCTGCAACTTTTTTTTCTGATATAATGATACGATTAAGACATGTGGACGGACGGATGCCTCCCACCGCTCACTCTCGCACGTGCTCACGCTCCTCCTCATTCTTATCCCTTCCGTGCTCGTGCCCTGCCCCACCCCGACGATGGGCCATGGCTGCTTTCGTGGCCGGCAGCGGTGCCCTCATCCACCCTAGCGTGCGCGCTCCCCCACCCGACGTTCTCCTCTTCTACCCAGCGTCCTCCTCCCCTACCCCGGCAGCGCCCCTCCCTCCACCCCGGCGTCCTCACCCATCGGGAGCCCCCAACGCCCGCGGATTTGGTGGCCCTCTCCTCCACCCAGCAAGATCCATTGATCACGAGCGAGATCCATGGAGGTGGCACGACGGTGTTGCAGGGGGGTGGGCGGCTCTCCCTGACCCAGCACGGCGCCCTCCCCACCCCCGACGGCGTCCTCTCTCACCCCGACGACTGAGCTCCCTAAAAGGACCTTGATGTCGCCTAGAGGGGGGGTGAATAGGCATTTCTAAAAATTATCAACAAATAAAACTTGTAGCGGATTATAGACCGCGAAACCTCCAGGAAACTACGCGGAACCTCCGGGGCGAGGAATGTCTAGGGGATGTCACGGAGCCTCCGGGCAACTCAAAGTACTCAGCAGCTGCTACGCCTAGAGATCAAACTCAAACCAAATGTGATGATGTGCTTGGAGATGTCTAGTGGCAAGTCCACAAAGTCCCTGCACTCACAAACATGTACAACCAAGTAGATCGAGTGAAACATAAATAATGCAATTCAAAACATAAGGGACAAGACACACAATTTATCCCGTAGTTCAGCTCGCCAACAAGGCTTGCCTATGTCCACATTGTTGAGAAAGCCACAAAGGCTTTGGGTCTCTTCCAGCCCTATCCTCTTCTCAAGTCCAACACCGAGGTTGAGCTTGAGGGTTCCACTAAGATCTCCGAGTAATACAAACTTTCCCGCAGCTCACCACAAGCACGGGAGCTCACCGGGCGACGCCTAGCCATCTAGGAGGCTTCACCTCTAAGAGTAACGAATGCGCAACGAATGCTTGACGCAGCCCAACAAGTACTCAAGATTTGGTTTGCTCTCAAACTCTTAATCTCTTTCTCCTAACACTTAATCACTCACTAAGCACTTCACTCTCACAAAGATAGAGGTTGGGAGAGCTCACACAAGGCTTGAAATGGGTTTAGAATGGTCATAGATCCAGCAGCACGGCCAGGAGACGTGGGATGGGTATATATACTCACCCCACAAAAACTAGCCATTGGAGGTCAAAACTAGCCATTATGACCTACAGACCCCGGAACCTCCGCGCACAGGCGCAGAGCCTCCGCGTAAATAGGCGGAACCTCCACGGTCTTCAGGACAACACAGATCACCATAAAGAAAAAGCCATAACTTTTTACTTCGAACTCCGTTTTCGGTGATCTTGGACTTTCCGGAAAGCTTGTTTTGAGGGCTTTCTAACCAAACAAAGAACAAGCCCCAAAACCAATAAGTGCAAGTGTTGTGTCATTGTGTTTCTCTCATGTTAGCACTTGAGTTTGGTTAGTTTGAGCACTTGAGACTTTTGTCTATGATTCGTGTTGCATCCACTTTGATAGTACGACATACCTATACTCAAGATCAAGAGAATATAACTATTTCAACCACTTGAGTCTTCAATGTCTTCATATGCCATTTCTTCTCAATATCTCTTCATGAGGGGTTGCAATCACCTTTGTCTCATCTCTTTGAGCAATCTCACCTTGAGCATGTGACTTGAATTATTTCAACACATATGAGTTCAATTCATGGCTTCAAGTCACTTCCACTAATGATTTGATCCTCAACACAATATGACTCCTCATAGCTGATTGGTTCCTCGACTCAATGCAAGTACTCTCTTCTTCACCTTAGCCATGGTACCTCGGTCCTCAAGCCATCACTTGCCCTTAACCTCCGCTTAGTCCCTCGAAGTCCTTTCCTTGCTATCTTCACCTTATCAAGCGATACTCAAGTCACATCATACTAAGCATCCATTGAAAAACTATTTCTTCAATATTGTGATCCTTGCTTGAATATCTTCTAGATATGAATGTTGAGATCAATCAAGCTTCAGTTTAATTCACATTGACACATATATGAATAAACATTAATATGGTCAAAACAATTCACGGTTCCTCATATCCTCTTCATTTTGGCTTGACATTCCTAACACTCTTTTCAATATATATATCTTTATACTTCTAGCTTGATCAAATCAATGCAAAGTGATTTTGTACATCTTTATCCATACAAGCAAAGCAATATAGAGACTAACTTATATCCAATATGAATTGTGTCCTTTGTCATTTAACCTTTGCTTGGTATTTCTTCACTTATGTATTCTTGACTCATTCTTTAATCCTTGATCAAAGCTAATCTACTATCAAACTCTTTTTGTTCATGTGAAGCAAGCCATTATTGAGACCAATCCAAAATCATCAACTCATGTCTCTTTAGCCATTTGCTAAATATGCATGCTTTCTCATGATACTATGATATCCCATAACATAGAAGCCATTTTTATCAACTCCATTTGCATTGTTATTCTTTTCTTGAACTAGATTGTTTTCTTGATCTTCTAACACAACAATACATAAGTTTGGCCTTGATTTAAACATTATGTGGAATATCATCAAGTTTGCCTTCTTGTGAAACCTTTAGTCACTTCTCATTCCATAATCCATAAGTATATGCAATAAACTCGATTTCCTGTTTAACACTTAATAAATTTATTAGACTTTTAATTCTGTTGTCATTCAATCCACCAAAATCCATTAAAGGGCTAGATGCACTTTCAATGCCCCACCCCGGCGGCCAGAATCGATCGGCCCAGGCTTCACCCCTATGTTGCATTTGTATATTTCAAGTATTTCAGACGTTTTAGATGTATGTTGCAATTGTTTCATATGAATGTTGCAAAGTAAATCTAGGGATGTTACAATTGTTTCAGAGACATGTTGCAAGCATATGTTTTGAGTGTTTCAGATGTTTTCAGAGGTATGTTTTATTTGTGTTTTTCATACGCATGTTGCAAGTATGTTTATATGGATGGTGCATATGTTCACACACGTTGCATGTGGGGCTGTTCGGCTGGCTGATAAGCCGGCTGATGCTGTTTTGTTGTGAGAGAAAAAATATTGTACCATGGCTGATAAGTTAAATCGAACAAGTGTTTTTAAGTGTTTCAGAATCATGTTTAAGTGTTTCAACTGCCTTCGGACATATGTTACAAGTGTTGTTTTTTGATGTTTTAAAAGTAAATCGAGTGTTACATCTCTCCTTCCACCTTCTGTTATCATCTCTCCCGGTGTCGGGTCCTTCCGAATCGTAGACGCCACACACCCTTCCCCTCTCGTCGCTCGAGTGATGCGAAGCCCACGTGGAGTGTAAAACGGAGTGCAGTGGACGCCGCAGGTGAGGTGAACCCCGCATGGAGTGCAAAACGGAGTGCAGCCCGATGTCCGGACGCGGGCGACTCTGGATGCGTGGACGCTGGCACTACCGTTTTTTTCGGGAATGTTTTTGGCCAAACACCCAAAGCCACACCACCGCGGCGCATCCATTTCCCTCATCTTCCTCCCTGCCATCCACTGTCTCCCCATCATCGTCGTCGCCGCCGCCGCTACCGCCGCGCGGCTATGGCACATCTGCATCGCTCCTCGGGCCGCCCATACGAGGACTGGACCATTATGGAGTTAAAAGGAGGAAGCGAGGCGGTTACGCGCCGCCGCGTTTTCGTCGCCCCACCGCTATCGCAGCACAGTTCCGTCCAGTACGCCTCCGACTCCTCGCCCCGCTGCTCCCTCGGATATACAAGATTATCCACACCATCCTGGCAAGGTCTCCTCTGCCAGTATTTCTGAGTTGGATCTTAAACTTAAATTTTTGTTTGTAAAGGCCGCACTTCCTGTG